TTGTCACAGGACAGAGCAGAGTTTAGGGCTGTTGTACATAGGGTCGCTATGAGTCACAAGCGACTCGACAGCACATAACAACAACAACAACAACATTTCACACTAGCAAAATCATGCTGCTGTGCTGAAGATTATCCGGCAGAAATGACTGGAACTACCAGAAATACAAGCTGAGTTTAGAGGATGTCGTGACACTAGAGACATTATTGTCAAAGTCACATGGATCTTGGCACATCTTGTCTATCTATCTGTGTTTCATTGACTATGAAAAGACATTTGACTGTGTGGATCATGACAAATTATGGCTAATCTAGAGGAAAATGGGAATACCAGAACACATGATTGTGCTTATGTGAAACCTATACTTGGACCAGGAAGCAGTCCTCAGAAAAGAGCAGGGAAACTGCATAGTTCAAAATCAGGTAAGGAGCGCAACAGGGATGCATCCTGTCCCCATACCTTTTCAATCTATATGCAGAACAGATCATTTGGGAAGCTGGGCTTTATAAGGAAGAATTGGAGGATTGGAGGAAGACTCAACAACCTATATCATGCAGATGACATGACTTTGCTTGCTGAAACTGAAGAAGACCTGAATCACTTGCTGCAGAAGGTCAAGGACTGTAGTCTTCAATATGGATTGAAGGTCAACGTCAAGAAGACAAAGATTCTCACCACTGGGTCAATTGTCAGCACCATGGTAGATGGAGAAGAGACTGAGGTTGTTAATAGTTATAGCTTCGTTGGCTCCACAATCAACACTCTTGGCACCAGCACTCAGAAAATTAAAAGGTGAATTTCACTGAGAGGTCAGGGACCTCTCTAGAGTACTGAAAAGCGAAGATGTCAGTCTAGAGATTGAAGTACTCCATGGTTTTCACAATTACTTGCTATGCATCAGAGAGCTGGACAATGGCTAAGGATGACAGAAGGAGAATTGATGCCTTCAAATTGTGGTTCTGGAGAATAGTATTGAACATACCATGGATTGCCAAGAAAACAAATATACTGGAGAGAGTTAAACCAAGTTTCTCCTTGGAGGCTAGGATTTTGAAGCTCTAACTCACATAATTTCAGCATGTGGCCAGGAGAGACCAGTCCTTGGAGAAGGACATCATGCTCAGAAGGATGGAGGAACAGCACAGGAGAGAAAGACCCAGGATGAGATGCACTGATACAGTAAATGAGGCCATGAAGGTTGGTATGTAAGAATTAGTGAGACTGGCTCATGACAGAGCAAGCTTCAGAGCTACTTTAGATAGGGTCATTATGGGTCGCAGGTGACTCAATGGCACATAACAATGATATATTCCCTGAAAGCAGGGAATACCAGAAGTATGTCTGTGTTTCATTAATTATGCAAAGGCGTTTGACTGTGTGGATCATAACAAACTGTGGCTGACTCTGAGAAGAATGGGAATCCCAGAACACTTGATCTTGCTAACGTAAAACCTATGCTTGGACCAAGAGGCAGTCGTCAGAACAGAGCAAGGAAACACTGCATGGTTCAAAATTGGGAAGGGCATATGCCAGGGAAGTGACCTATCTCCATACCTTTTCAACCTATATGCAGAGCAAATTATCCAGGAGGCTGGGCTCTGTGAGGAGAAATATGGCATCAGGATTGGTGGAAGATCCATCAACAATTTGCGTTTTGCAGACGACACAACCATGCTTGATGAAACTGAATAGGACCTGAAGAACTTGCTGCAGAGGGTCAAGGACTGCAGCCTCCAATATGGACTGAGGCTCAATGTCACGAAGACAAAGATTCTCACCACTGAGTCAATTGACAGCATCAGGATGGATGGTGAAGAGATTGAAATTGTGCGTCGCTTTAGTCTGCTTGGCTCCACAGTTAACACTCTTGGCATCAGAAGCCAGGAAATTAAAAGACATATTGCGATGGCAAAATCTTCTGTTAGAGACCTCTCCAGGTACTTAAGAGCAATGGTGTCACTTTAGAGACTAAGGTGCACATGATACAGGCCATGGTCTTTCAGAGAGCTGGACAATGACTAGGGAGGATAGAAGGAGAATTGGTGAAGAAATGTTCAAAATCCCTAGCTCTAAGAGAGATGCAAATCAAAACAACTATGCGATATCATCTCACCCCAGTCAGAATAGCAAAATTTAACAGAACAGCAAGCAACAAATGCTGGCGAGGTTGTGGGGAAACTGGAACCCTTATTCACTGTTGGTGGGAATGTAAAATGGTGCAACCACTGTGGAAGGCGGTATGGTGCTTTCTCAAAAAGTTGCAAATAGAGATACCAATTGAACCAGCAATTCCACTACTGGGAATATATCGCAAAGAGACCATAACTGACATCCAAGCAGGTATATGCACATCCATGTTTATCGCAGCTCTGTTCGCAATAGCAAGGAGCTGGAAACAACCCATGTGCCCATCAACAAACGAATGGGTAGAGAAGCTGTGGTATATTCACACAATGGAATACTATGCTGCGTTGAAAAACAAGGAACTCATTCAATATTATTCAAAATGGGTGACCCTGGAGGACATTATGCTGAGTGAAATATCTCAGTCACAAAAGGACAACTATTGCAGGTACCACAGCTGTAAAATGGGACTGATACCAGGGTGGGGGTAAGACTGAGAAAAACTGGATAAATTGTGTATACTGCACTGAAACAGATGAGGGACTGAATCGTTTAAAAGAGATGTATGATAGGGTATTATGGTTATCACAAGAGTCCACAATTAAGGTTGCATAGTGGAATGTACTTGGGGCGGTGGGAGGGGTGCGGGGGGATTGTGTACCAGGGAGGGAGGTTTTCTTTTACTTTTGAAAGAGAGGAGCGAACTGGGGGGCGGGGGGAGAGAGCTGGGCGGGGAAAGAAGTGCAGCAATGAATGAATGGAAATAAAAAAAAAAGGAGAATTGGTGCCTTTGAGCTGTGTTGCTGGAGAAGAGTGTTGAATGTACGACGGACCGCTAAGAAAACAAACAGGTTCATTCTGGGGAGGGTTAAACCGGGCGGCTCCTTGGAGGCAAGGATTCTGAGGCTTCGTCTGACATACTTCGGACATGTTGCAAGGAGGGACCTATCCTGGAAGAGGGATGTCATGCTTGGGAGGGTGGAGGGACAGAGTAGGAGAGGAAGACCCTCTACGAGGTGACTGGGGTAATCAGGGTGGGTGTGTTGGAAACGGTGCGATTGGCACAGGACAGAGCAAGTTTAGGGATGTTGTACATAGGGTCGCTATGAGTAGCAGCTGATTCGACAGAACATAACAACAACAACAACTACGGCTCATAACAACAACAACAACAAATATATATATATAGTTATAGTTTTATAGTTGTTATAGTATATAGTTTTATAGTTA